ACACACACACACACACACACACACGCACACACACACACACACACACACACACACACACACCACACACACACAACACACACATCATATACTCATATGTATATATCAAAATATAAATATATGTATATATATGTAGTTTATATACTCTATACTATACCTATATATATATATATATATATATATATATATAATGTTTATTCGATATATGTTGGTGGCTGGACTGCAAGAAGGTGTTCACATTTTGGAATAACATCTGCAAATTGCCTCGGATCATGTATCACCAAGACACATATGAACATGGCAACAAATAATATGTCTTGATATTCATTTCTCTAACCTAGTGTATTTCACTGCCATGCCGAAATAACCGAAAGATATATCTATATACGTCATCCTACTTTTAGAAGGATATTAAAACCGAACTGAGTGCTAAATAAGGCCAAACGTCCCATGTACTGACCTTCAAGCATGTCTTTTTTTACGAGTTGTTTTAAGGATGCAACAAAGACGACTTGAATTAGCTTTGTTCGTGCTAGCGTATTGCGTGAAGTTAGAACGTTGGCTGCTCGTGTTTACGTATTGCATTCGGTTTTGGCAATATACTCGTTTTATAGATATATTTTGATGGTGTATTGCAAACGATGCTGGATTTATTTCAAGATGCAAATCAACCTAATGTAAGGATATATAAATGCATGTAGGCGCATGCAATGCACACGAACACATACATACATACAGGGAGAGAGATAGGGAGGGGAGGGAGAGGGAGAGGGAGACACACACACACACACGTGTGTGTGTGTGTGTGTGAGCATGTGTGGATGGGGGTTAGTGTAAACACACATACTTAAACTCCTAACCTAAGCCGTATCGCCACACACCACCACAGCCCTCGAATTCAGCATTACCCTCAGCATCACCACCACCATCCGCGTCACCATCCTGTCACCACCGCCGCCATTATTCGCGTGTTCTGAGTGCGACCTTCATTTCCTCAATCCTCGCAACATCCTCTGCCACCCGATGTCCGGCCTCAGGCTAGCGCCCCGGGTTAGCCATCCGGCCGGGGCGAGTCTACGCTCCTGTATTCTTCGTGTATGGACTGTGTGTGTGTGTGTGTGTGTGTGTGTGTTGTGTGTGTGTGTGTGGTTGTGTGTGTGTGTGTGTGTGTGTGTGTGTGTGTGTGTGTGTGTGTGTGTGTGTGTGTGTTTGATATGTGTAAAGTGTTGTATGCGGGTTTATGCGCTTGGGTTTGAGTGGCTATACAATCTCGTGTGTTTGGAAAGGATTTTACATGTCAGGAATGTGTGTGCATGATTTCTAAAAGAAATGCATGACTGCAAACGGAGAATCTGTGGATGACTGTCTTATGGATTTGGCGTTTATGAATTATCAAATAAAGAAAAAAATCAATAGCAAAAACGGGTGGGGCTCAATGGATCCTTTAAAGAGTATTGCTTTTCTACGTCACGATCAGAGACAAACTCTGCGATCAAAATAACGAATGTTCCAGTCAGACATTTGTGACTTGTTTTGTCCTGCCGAGACATAGTTTATCTCAGTCCCTTTCTCTCAACAAAACAACCGTTATTCCTTCATTCTTTGTTCTGAGATAATTTATACAACAACGGGTGATCACAATCCCGCCTTGTTTGTGCGAATTCTATTTTCATGTCGGTTCTTTCTTTGCTTCCTTTGTTATCGAGCGACGTCACTGCGCGCGCCAGCAGTGATTACGCAGAACTGTAGCAGCGTCTCCGGCTGCTCAGAGCTCAAAATATCTAACGCTCCTTCGAGCCATAACTTTATTTGCATGAGTTAAAAAAAATCAAAGGCAAAATTAAACATCCGCTTTTCCGACAGACACGGAAGTACGGTTGATGAATAAGCCATGGGATTCGGTGCTGTTGACAGAGGGCGGCACATCGCGTTGGCAGCGCTGTTACTTCCCGCTGCAGTACCGCGTCCCGCCACATTTTCCCATGATGGCGGTCGTGAAGCGCGCAGACACTTGGAGCTCGAGGTTTTATACTCATCTTTTATCGCTGTCATTGTTGATGTTTATCTAGAATTTGTTTCATAAGGAAGGTATTAACTCTGTATAGAAAAGTGAAAAAAATATTAGAGATTTACTTCAGCCTACATAAATTATACATCAATGGACACTCTCATCACTTTCCCATCCATCTGTCTATGAACGAACCTGCTGTCCGCTTCTCTGCCTTTCTGTATATCCATCTAATCCATGCAAATATACGCCTTGTTTACGTAATGCCGTTACCAAATTCGCGACCGAGAAATGATCCCCTGAGAACATCTAGACCGAGACCGTAGTGGAGGCAGACATCATAATTTACTGAGTATGATTTTTATAAGACACTGTCAGTCACTATATAGTGCATGACTCGAACCAGTGTTGTGAAGCCATGTCAATCCTCAATCCTGTGTATGCCAAAAATATCTATCTATCGAATCGTTTTGCGTGTCCCGTCTATTTATGGTC